TGTCATAAATACATGCTGGTCACTAAATACAATGGTCATAAATCGAAGACTGTGTGTAAGGTTTTAACCAGGTCAACAATCTTAGTGGGTTCACCACGATAAGCCTCCAGCCACTTCTTCCAACTGCAATAACAAGCGAATTCTTGATTCTGGACTCCTTTCCTTTCCTTTCCTTGTCTGTCAGTTTCTCCCTTGGGTTATTTCTTCCACCACACAAACACAAACACACACACAAATGCTGTCAGCAACACACACACACACACACACACCTTCCTCTGTTTGCTATCTCTGTTTTTAAAATGGTGTGCATTTACTAAAGGTCTGTCTTAGTTAATTTTGTAAAACATCTGTATCTGGAAGAGAGTATATAAACAATGAATAAGGAGAAACAGCTGCTATCAGGAGAAGGCAAAAGTGGCTGAATCACACACACACACACACACACACACACAAACCCACACACAGGGAGAGAGAGAGAGAGAGGGAGGGAGGGGAGAGGGAGCGGCAGAACAAGTTCTCGGTAATGGAAAAACGAAGCTAAAAATCAAAATTTCATTTCTTTTCCGTTTCTTGCCCAGAGTGCTTTCCAGATAGAAATACGTATGATTTAGGGATTTGATGATTAGAATGAAATTGGATTATAGGAATAATGCGGACTATTATTAATTTTAGAGTAGGAATCTGATGCATTTTTTATCGATATCGGTACCCGCGAAAAGTGCGAAGTCATTTTTTCCCCCCCCCCTCTATTTTCTATTTTACTTTTTCCGTCCCTGTTTTCTTTCTGCGTTTCAGTCTTGCTGCTTTCTTGGACTTTTAATCCTTTTTGCTGGTTCGTTTTTTGTTTTTGTTTTTTAAAGTCTTTTCTGAATTTAATAAAGTTGTAGGTAGAACGGGAAAAAATTGAAGATAGAGGAAGACGGATTTTTATTCCCTCCCATCCGTTTTCCTCTTTCTTTTGTTCATCTAAGGTTAGAAGCGAAGCCTTAAAAAATATAGCTCAGGCATTTCGTAATCAGATTTCATTCAGGAATGAAAAAGAAAGAAAGAACACTTGCTGTTTTTCAAATGTTTTCCTTTCAGAACAAAACACAAAATGTTCAGCACTCAAGAAATACAACGAGAGGAGAGAAGTGCAGCCTTTGAGCTGAGATATAAGGCGAGCCACACGTTTATTTATTAATTGGTTCCCTTTCAGCCTTTTCAGTTTATTTGTTGACAGCTTTTAATGGATGACAAAGGAAAGCTGCGTTTCGCGGCAAAAAAAAATTGGAGATCATCTAGACGGGTGTGTGGAGGTAGACCTCGACTTACGACCACAATGGAAGCCAATATTTCTGTGGCTAAGGGAAACGTTTGTTAAGTGTGTGCTGCCCCTTTTTACAACCTTTTGTCAACTCGCAAAGCATCCTTGGCCTGCTCGTGAGTTGCCATAGGCAAGGGGGATGGGAAACAGAAGGAGCAGCACGTCAGCCAAAAACAGAAGTACATTCCAGACTTATCTCTCTCAAGGCCATCTCCCAGAGTTACCCACAGTGGCTGGAAGGGAGTGATCTCTATAACCCTCGAAATTGCTTGGTGAATGTGATTGATGGCACACACCCTGGAGGGAGGGGGGAAAACAGGGTCATGATTGGGGCCATAAATTATGTGGGGTCAGAGTTGGCTTCATGGAGCTCCTAATAAATAAATAGTTTCTTTTGAAGCTTGGCTCGAGGCTCATGATTTAATTAGGGCATCCGTCAGAACCCCGACACCATTAGTCACATGATTATTAAGTGAATCTGGCTTGCCACAGCTGTTAAGTGAATCACTCAGTTGCTCGGTTAGCAATGTGTTATTTTCACACTTACAACCGTTGCAGCATCCCCATGGTCACCTGATCAAAATTCAGATGCTTGGCAACCGACTCATACTTACGACGGTTGCAGTGTCCCGGGCTCACGTAATCCCCTTTTGAGACCTTCTGACAAGCAAAGTCCACGGGGAAGCCAGATTCACTTAATAACCACGTGACTAATGGTGATTCACTTAACAACCATGATGAGAAAGGCCGCAACATGAAGCAAAGCTGATTTAACCACAGAAAGTTTGGGCTCAGTTGTTGCCGTAAGTCAAAAACTACCTGTATTTTTTTTCCCTTGCACCACAGCATAACACAAAATAAAACGTTGTGTGACTTCGAAGGTTTTGCTGCCCTAGTGACACAAGATTCTTCCCTGCACATCCTTGTCTCTTTGGAAACATCTTCCCCAGTTGGACTCCAACCAGAAATTGCTAACTGGCTAGGGAGGTGGGGGAAAATATCAATATCCATCCTCCTCCCCTCCCCAAATTAGCTCAGCCTCGTTAGCCCTTTTGCAGCGCCGAAAACAAATTAAATTACTTTTATTTATATTGTACACCATCAGCAATTTCCACACAATAAGGAGATAAATCCTTATCGGAAATCTGTGGGTTTTTTTTTTTTTTTTTTTAAAGCACAGCCTCAGCCGCTGATTTGGGAATTGGTGACCCCGGTCTATGCAAGAACAGGATTGCCACCTGTCTGAAAGACACCTGGGAAAAGGCTACTGTTACTTCCCCTCCTTCCTTCAAGGAGATTTCACAGAATGGAATNGTCACCTGAGTGGTGCAAATGGTTTCTGTAGTCTGCAATTATTTTCCTCTGGGAATCCGTTCCTACTCCCACACCGTTCCAAGGGTCCACTCCAAATTGTATAGCTAAAAGTCTGTAGAGATTCTCCATAATCCAGGTCATGGTTGCCCCAAAGGTGCTTTTTTCAGGAGGCAACTGGACTTCCTTCTTTCTTTTCTTTTGAAGATGTTTCACTTCTCATCAAAGAAGCTTCTTCAGCTCTGCCTGAATGGAGAGGAATAGAAGGATTGATCCTCCTTGCAGACAGCTGGCCATTTGCCTCCTTTTTAGAGAGTCACTGAGGCCACTTGGAGGTTTATCTCTGTCCTCAGGAGGGTCACCTGAGTGGTGCAAAATGGGGTGTGGAGCCTTCTTGGAACTGCTGAATTCACTCAACTTTGAATGGTCACTAAATGAACTGTTGTAAGTCGAGGACTCCCCGTATAGGGTGAAACCCGAAATCAAATGCCATTCAGCATCCTGGATGCCGCACTCTTCTTTTGAAAAGCTACCTGGATATCCTGTGGAAGGGAGTTCCACAGGCTCATGATGCAATGTGCAAAGCTCTATTTGGCAGCATTCCATTAGGATTAATGGTCTTTTTTGTTTGTTCAGGTTCATTTTCCCATGTTTTCACCCCTAATAGCATCTCATTCCCACCTTATTTGCAAAGGGTTTATAATCTCGTTTGCTTCCTGTTATCCTTCTTTACGGCTGGCATTCATTTCCAAGTTGTGTATTTACTTAGCTGCCTATTGATTTATGTCCTAACAGTTTAATTGTTTGTCATTCCCAGAACGTTTGTTATTCGCTAATACACACATACCATTGATCAGTAAATAAGATTAATCTCCACTTTTTTATAAAAAAAAAGATTAAAAACCACAAAGGCATCCATATTTAAGCAGATATTTAAATGCCTTTTTAAAAAAAAATGCATTTGAAAACAAAATACAGTTTTCTATCCCTGTTTTCTCTTTGTTGCTTCTTTCCTCTACGCGTTAGCTGAGACTCCCATGGAAAGAAGTTCGGGAAAAGATAAAAGATAAATGTTGAGATTATTTCAGCCAAAAGGAGGTACGGCAGCAGGCATGGCTTGGCACCAGACCAGCTTTCTGCTTCACCCAATTTGAATTTTAAGATTATTTTAATTCAAAGTAAATAAATGGGAATTTTGCTGCTTCAGGGAGACGTGCCGGGGCCTCATTCCATTTTTCTTCCAAGAAGAGCTCTGGGCTTTGAAAATAGCAGGGATAAGTAACTATAACCCAAGGGTACATTTAAAAATGTAGGTAGGTAGGTAGATAAGGAAGGAAGGAAGGAAGGGGGAGGGAAGGAAGGAAGGAGATAAAGGGAAAGGAAGGAAGAAGAGAAGGAAGAATGGGGAGGGAAGGAAGGAGATAAATGGAAAGGGAGGAAGGAGGGAAGGAAGGAAGAACAGAGGAAGAATGAAAGGAAGGAGATAAAGGGAAAGGAAGGAAAGAGAGAAGGAAGGAAGAACAGAGGAAGAATGAAAGGAAGGAGATAAAGGGAAAGGAAGNGGAATTCTGGGAGTTGTAGTCCACCCATCTTAAAGCATGCTGGCTGGGGAATTCTGGGAGTTGTAGTCCACCCATCTTAAAGCATGGCGGCTGGGGAATTCTGGGAGTTGAAGTCCACCTGTCTTAAAGCATGGCGGCTGGGGAATTCTGGGAGTTGAAGTCCACAAGGCTTAAAGCATGCCAGCTGGGGAATTCTGGGAGTGGAAGTCCAAAAGGCTTAAATCATACTAGTTGGGGAATTCTAGGAATTGAAGTCCACCCATCTCTTAAAGAATGTCAGCTGGGGAATTCTGGGAATTGAAGTCCACCCATCTTAAAGCATGCCAGCTGGGGAATTCTGGGAATGGAAGTTCACCATTCTTAACACTTGCGGACTAAAGAATTCTGGGAATTGAAGTCCACGTATCTTAAAGCATGCCTGGCTGGGGAATTCTGGGAGTTTGTTTAGTGACTTCAAGTGGTTAAGGACTAGTTGTACCTGAAACTGTTAAAGAGGAAAATAGGATGAGTACAGGATCCGCAGGGGAACGATTTCATCTTTCTGTGGGGCAAAGCATCAACCTTGTCAGAAACTGGAAGTCCCCATTGCTACATGGGAAAAAAGGCCTCCTCCTCCTCCTCCTCCTACCAAAAGAGTCATGGGTGAACCAGTGGTGAGAAGGCAGTACTGCAGGCAAACCCTGTCAACTGTCAGCAGTTCGATCCTGACCGGCTCAAGGTTGACTCCGCCTTCCATCTTTCTCAAACGAGGACCCAGATTTTTCAGGACAATAGGCTGACTCTGCAAAACACTGTGAAGCTCCAGATCAATCCAAGCACTATTGCTATTTCAACTTTTTAATGAAGTACAAAGAAGCGGATTAATGCATCTCATAATAATATCGGGGGAATTCCCCCCCTCACACGATTGTTCAAGCAGTGCAGAAAACGATTTACAACAGCCGTACGTAATGCCTTTTGTCAATCCTGAAAATTCCCCAATCCTCACTCGAGCGTTAATTTTATTTTTTATTTTTATCACTCTAGCTAGGAAGAATATTTTTTTTAAAAAGGATACAGAGGGGGGTGATTTCTAGCCAAGTACAACGTGTTCTATAGTCCTTGAAGAAGAGAAGATTTAAAATCGTAAATTTAAACATACAAAAACACGGCGGGAGAATCCCGATGCTAACTGAGGGGATATTTTCGGCGGAGTGGTAATTCTCTTGGTTAAGCCCAAATTTGGGGGTTCTAGAAATCTTCCTCTGCCTCCTCTTCCTCCCCGTCGGCATAATCGCGCCCGACTTCTTCGTAATCCTTCTCCAACGCCGCCAGGTCTTCTCGGGCTTCCGCGAACTCCCCTTCCTCCATGCCCTCGCCCACGTACCAGTGGACGAAAGCCCGCTTGGCGTACATGAGGTCGAACTTGTGGTCCAGACGGGCCCAGGCCTCCGCGATCGCCGTGGTGTTGCTGAGCATGCAGACGGCCCTCTGGACCTTAGCCAGGTCTCCCCCGGGCACCACGGTGGGCGGCTGGTAGTTGATGCCCACTTTGAAGCCAGTCGGGCACCAGTCGACAAACTGGATGGACCGCCGGGTTTTGATCGCCGCGATGGCCGCGTTGACGTCCTTCGGCACCACGTCTCCCCGGTACAAGAGGCAACACGCCATGTATTTCCCCCGCCGCGGGTCGCACTTCACCATCTGGTTGGAGAACTCAAAGCAGGCATTGGTGATCTCCGGCACCGAGAGCTGCTCGTGGTAGGCTTTCTCGGCCGAGATGATGGGGGCGTAGGTGGTCAAGGGGAAGTGGATGCGGGGGTACGGCACCAGGTTGGTCTGGAATTCGATCAGGTCGACATTCAGGGCCCCGTTGAATCTCAGCGAAGCCGTGACGGAGGAGACGATCTGCCCGATCAGCCGGTTGAGGTTCGTGTAGGTTGGGCGTTCGATGTCCAGGTTTCGGGTGCAAATGTCGTAGATGGCTTCGTTGTCCACCATGAAGGAACAGTCCGAGTGCTCCAGGGTGGTGTGAGTGGTCAGGATGGAATTGTACGGCTCCACCACAGCAGTGGAGACCTGAGGGGCCGGATACACCGAGAATTCCAGCTTGGACTTCTTGCTGTATTCGAC